AAGATTTTCCAGGTTGATAGATATTAGCTGGACCACGGTACATACTGAAATTGGCCCTGCACTTTGAAGACAGGATTTTGGAATCTTCAAACATCAATAACTTTTGCAGGTCTGGATCAAATCACTCGATTTGAAGTGCATTAAAAAGGTGAGCCTTTCCTCTACATTTTTCATTGAGACATCACATCTGTAGCTGGTCTAAAAAAGATCCTACAGAGCTATTCATGCAGAACTGTTTGAACATATGTAGAGTGTTTAAATGACTAGATAGCACCTTACTAACATTATGAAGTGTGAAGGAGAATAGTTCAGCTTTTGAATGAACCAAAAATCGAGTTATTTGGAGCAGAATTGCAAAAGTTATTGAAGTTTTTAGACCACAAAATATTGTCTTCATACTCATGACCCAAATTTCAGGTATTGTTACATGTGAGTTCTTGATGATTTTCAGCGTTTATTGTTAGTACATAAACCAATATCTGTGTGTAAAATACAAAAAAATACTCATCATGACACCCCAACATCTAGGAACAAGGTGCATATTTTTTTAGATTTTTAGCTCTCTTCCTGTTGCCTCAGGACTTTTCTATGTCAGTAGTTTTCTTTACCGCCCGGTAAAGATTACATATGGTGTAGTGTTAACAGCCTCCGCCGTACATTCCGCCTGCAGCGCTGCCTGAAACACAATGTAAAAACCCCATGTACCGTGGAACATCCGGGAGGAAGCTTCAATTTGAGTGTTGTGAACTTTGATGTTAATATTGATATTATCATTCAAGTTAAAGGAAAACCGTGTTCGCCGGCAAAACCTAATTAAACTCCCAATCCCTACTACCAATTTCCAGGTTTACACGTCCAACACATTTTAATCTGAATTCCACGTGCCTCACCCCAGATCTGTTGCTTATTCCTCTTATCAAATTGGGTCAACTATAACTCCAGTTAAACAGATCCATCAAAACTTTCAACAAAACAAATCAACTTCAACTGCAAACTTGACCTCCAATGAGTTTCACTCAATCTCATTGAACTCAAAATCACATCTCAACCCTACAAACACACAGAGACAAGACTGTACTTTGATAGATCCAGTCCATTCTGATTCCCTATCAAATTTTACTATCCAATTCAAATTCACATTTGAGACGTAATGGATCTACATATGGTACCACACCTTCAACTCAACGGTTTCTCACAGGGCAAGTTCTTCCACCACTTTTTCTCCTCCAGCTAACTCTGGTTATTGTGCCAGTAGTCGTTCTCAAAGTACTAGAAGTAGCACAAGTGTATGTCGTTCTATCTTAACTCGATTGCAAATCAAACCATCAACTTAATATGTCCTTGAATTTTTATTCATAGACTGGCATCAATCCACTATTTACATGAAGTTGGTCAACATCATCTCCACCTGTTTTCCAAGGTCCAATTTGCTTCTCTTGGTTATTGATCTGATGATTGTACTATCTCTTGATTTATTATCAGCAATTTAAATTCGGTTCCGGACGATTTACAATACAAGGAGCAGTTTAGAATGACAAGAAAGGAGCCTAGGGAAAGAACTCACTTACAAAACAAACTCAAACTCAAGCATACTTTTTTGTTCTTCCTGACCAAATCAACTCAAGTCCTCTCTTCAATCCATCAACATTGACCCTCATCTTTCTCAAGACCACGGGTATCAGTAACTTTTAATTTATATGGTTCAGATCTGACTGATCGATAGGTTTGCTTTAATCATACTGCCTTCATCCTCTCAAGCCATGACTTACATTTGTTTGATAGGCTGTATGGGTCGTTCCCATCAGGGTCACTTGCATCATACATGTCACTGTTGAAAAGGGAGGGGATCAGAACTTCCCGAACTCAAGTCCACACTCTTTGCAGAGAGGATGACATGAAGAA